GGACACCAATTAGGCCACTTTTGGAATACTGTGTTCATTTCTGATCTCCCTGCTATAGGGAGGATGTTACAAAACTTGAAAGGGTTCAGAAAAGATTTACAAGGTTGTTGCCAGGGTTAGAGCGTTTGAGTTATAGAGAGAGGCTGAATAGGCTGGGCTATTTTCCCTCGAGCTTTGGAGGCTGAGGATTGTGAGGAGTGACTGTTAGGGGTTTATAAAATCATGAGGGGCATGGGTACCGTGAATAGCCAAAGTCTTTTCCCCAGGATAGGGGAGCCCAAAACTAGAGGTCAAAGGTTGAAGGTGAGAGGTGAACAATTAAAAAGGCACCAGAGAGGCAACATTTTCACACATAGGGTGATGCGTGTATGGAATGAGCTGCCAGTAGAGGTGCAGGAAGCTGGTACAATTACGCCATTTAAAAGGCATCTGGATGGGTACATGAATGGAAAGGGTCTAGAGGGATATGGGCCAAATGCTGGCAAATGGAACTATATTAATTTAGGATATCTGATCGGCATGGATGAGTTGGACTGAGGGTCTACTCCCGTGCTGTACATGTCTATGAATCTACAATACTTCTGGGAGGATATGTAACCCCAAAGATGCTAGCAGCTTTTCTATTGTCATCTCTGTGTTTAACAAATGAACTAGTTGCAAATCCAATCACCTTGAGTGGGCATCCACAATGACTAAGGACATTAAGCCCATGAAAGGCCTGGCGTAGTTGATGTGTAACCAAGTCCAGGCCATTCCCATGAATGTGGGGGAGCAGCTGGCAGTAATTTTTGTTCTTGTTGGCACTCTGTGCACTGTCCCACCAACGCAGCTATGTCTGCATCTACCAGACATAACTTCTCACCAACGTCTTCATTTTGGACACCCCTGGATGACACTGGAAGAGTTCAGCCAGCATCTTGCAATGACCTTTGCTTGGGACAATCACTCTTGCTCCTTTTACAAAATGCCATCCTCTCTGGTGATCTGATCTCACCACGTCCAGAAAGGTTTCTGGTTTGATGGCCATTTTGCTTCCTCCATCACCACCAGCTGTTTTGGTTTTGTCTGGACTGGAGTTTTTTGCATCCACACTCTGATATTGTCAGTGGTGACAGGAAGGGTGTCCAGAAAGTTTAAAACCAGAACAGACTCTTCCAGTGGCAGCATCACCAATAGTGTCTGCAGGAGGTGGCTCAAGGCAGCTGCATTTGCTCTTTGGCTCCCGGACAATGTTCCAATTTGTAATTGTAAGCACTTAGAATGAGGGCCCGTGGTTGAATTCGACCTAAAGCTATGGTCGGCATAACCTTGTCCTCTTTAAGCAGCCCTAGCAGGGTTTTGTGACCTGTTACTATTACAAATTTACATCCGTAAAGGTATTGGTGGAACTTTCTCACACCAAAGATGACTGCCAAACCTTCCTTCTCTATCTGGGTGTATTTGCGCTCTGCATCAGCTAAAGTCCAGAAGTATGTGCTATTGAGGGTTCTTCTCTGTTGGGCCATCTGTGAGCCAACATTACCATGATACCATACGGAGAAGCATCACATGTCAGCACTAGATTTTGCTTGTAATCATAGTGTGTCAACACCTTAGATGATGACAGACGGCTCTTCACTTCCCTAAAGGCTATGTCTTGGCTACAAGACATTTCCAAGGCTGACACTTTTTCAATTGCAGATGGAAGAGTGCCAGGATAGAGGCCACGTTACATATGAACTTTCCATAATAATTCACCGAACCAGAGAAAGTCCTAAGCTGCTGTACAAGCATGGGAGCCAGGGCACCTTTGATTGCCCTCACTTTATCTTCCAACAGGTGTAATCTGGTCTTGCCAACTCTGTAGTCCAAGTAGGTCACTTGGTGTGCCTGGAACACACAGTTTTCCCTTCTAAGGCATACATCTGCCTTGGGGAAACATCTAAGGATTATGTCCAAGTTTTCTAAGTGCTCTTTATTGGTCTTCCCTGTTATTTACACATCACCCAGAAAAATAGCGACCTGGGGTTGACTTTGTAAAATGTTCTCCATCATCTGCTGAAAAATGGCACAGGCTGATGAGACCCCAAAAGGCAGTCTTGTATATTGGTACAAACCCTCATGGCTATTAATTAAGGCATACTTCTGGGAAGGCTCATCTAACCACAATTACATGTATGCATGGCTCATGTCCAGCTTCGTAAAAGACAGCCTGCTCCCTAGCCAGCTTTGCATATATATTCTCTATGCAAGGAATTGGGTATTTATCCACCTATGAGAAGTGGTTTACCATTTGTTTGAAATCCCCATAAAGGCAAACTGACCTGTCAGGCTTCACAATTGGTACAATCGGTGCTGCCCATTCTGCAAACTGCATAGGTTTGATGATTCCTTGGCTTTCCAGCCTCCTGTTTTCTGCCTGTACTTTTGCATGTAAGGCAAATGGTACTGGGTGGGCGTTGCAGAATCTTGCAATTACTTCATGGTCACGTGCAAGGTAGCCTTGGCTCTTTTGAAAAATCTCCGGGTATTTAATTAGTACTTAATTCAGGCAGCCATTTTCTAATGAAAACATGTTGAACCAATCCAGGTGAATCTTTCTCAACCAATTTCGCCCCATCAGGCTTAGTCCCAAGCCTTTTACTAGATTCAGTGGTAATTAACCAGTTGCTTCTCACATGAGACCCGAACTGAGGTTGTACCCTTAATCTGTAAAGGCTTCCAGGTGTAGGTTCTCAGTCTAGCCAAGGTCTTAGCAAATTTAAGGGTTGGAGTCCAGAGCAAATTTTCTTGAAGACAGTATCTGTGACATGCTGGTATCAACCTCCATTAGAACAAGGCAACCATTTAACGAGATGTTTATTTTGATTGATTCTGATTTAGATGTTGCTTGATTCAGGCCAAGTGGGTCTCTTTTGCTCTTTGAGTCCGCCTACCGGCAGCAACTACAATGGCTTCCTAGCCTGGATCCTGAAGAAAATGTTAACCGTTTAGCAAGGCTTGGCTTTATTTTGATGTTTTGCTGTAGGCTGACCTAGAGACCCTCAGTTCAGGGTATGTCATGACTGAAGCTATGCAATTGCCTTCACTCAAGAAGTGTTCCTCTAGCTCAATTGGTATGCTCCATCTGCTGCATTTTCTAATGCCAAAACCAGTTGCAGTGCTTGTTTGATGTCCAGTTGGGCTTCAGCTAGTAGGCACTTTTGCATGGTTATGTCATTAATCCCACATACCAAATTATCTGTCAGAATCTCATTAAGGTTTAAACCAAAGTCACATGTCTCTGCTAGTCTTAACCTTATCAAAAATCCCAGCACAGATTCCCCATTCTCAAACTGCTAAATGGGCTCAGTTACATGTTACTGGCAGTTTCACAGGCTTAAGGTTCTTTAGTCATTGTGGACGTCCACTCAAAGTGGCTGGACATGTATCAAGTTCATTCATCAAACATGGAGATGATGATAGAAATGCCGTGAACAACTTTTGCAATACATGGGCTCCCAGAACTGTTAGTCACAGACAACAGGCCATCATTTACCAGCAGGAAATTTGAGTATTTCCTAAAGTCAAATGGTATTTGGCATATAAAGACAACTCCATATCATCCAATGGTCTGGTTGAAAGAGCAGTCCAAATTTTGAGAACAGGCTTAAAGAAACAACCTGCAGCTTCACTTGATACCAAACTGAACCAGTTCTTATTTGATTATTGGACCACCCCTCATGCAACTACAGGGATAGCTCCAGCAGAGTTGCTAATGGGGAGATGACTCAGCAACAGGTTAAATCTGATCTTCCAGGAGCTGGGGAGGTGAGGGTGAAATGGTATCCAGAACTCCAACACCAGTCACAAGACCCCTCTAAGTGAGAGACAGTTTAATTCAGGAGTGTATTTTTTTTCTCTTATCACCACTGAAATAACACCACAAAAACCAGTATCCCATCACCAAGTCACCCTTCATTTCCATATGCATAATAGTTAACACTGATTTGGCTTCCTCAGAGCCAGCTCTCAGAGTGAACAGAACCTCTGACTCTTCTATTAATTTTCCAGCTCAGAGTTACTCCCCTGAAGTGAGATTCTGAATCCCTGCTTTTTTGTTCTTATTCTATCTTTTTTCTTGTTCTCTTCTTGCTACACAGCAGTAATTTGCTCCCACAGCACCTAAGTTGTGTGTGGTTAAGTGCAAGGACTCAGTGAAGACACATTCATGCAAATAATTTTACTGAATATTTCCACCACCAGGAAAAACACCCAGGTGGCTAGGAAAACTGTAACCTACAAAGCCCAAGAGCAGCAATGTTTATGTGACAAAAGGGAAAGGGGAGGCTAGGGATTAAATCAAAATAGAATTGGAGGGTAAATTAAGCACTCCACTCCCCACAGTGCCCACCTCTCTCTGAAGGCACCGAGAGCACTGGTGCTCCCTCTCACCCTTCTGTTTATATCTGTCAACCAGGGCTCCCTCATCAGACTAGATTAACTGCTCCAATCAGGGAACGCATATTCCATGAGTTCCACCTAGGTGATCCTGTTACTACATCTCTGCCCTGAATTAAACCCAAGTTAGTGTGCCCCCCGCTCTGATGAACCTGAATTAGTGTGCCCCCCCCCGAATTAAACCTGAATTAGTGTGCATCCTAAATTAAACCTGAGTTACTGTGCCCCTCTCTGATAAACGTGTGTTAGCTTGCCCTCCTGAATAAAACCTGAGTTAGCAAGGCCCCCGAATTAAACCTCAGTTACTGTGCCTCCCAAATAAAACCCGAGTTAGTGTGCTGTACACCCCTTCCCCGAGTTAGTGTGCCTTCCAAATAAAACCCGAGTTAGTG